CACCTCTGATAGTCCTGAGAGGCGTGACTAATAAACCAGCCATTCATCTACGTTGTGGCTTTTGCAAACCCACGTCGGGGGAAGCTGCGCTCATCTCGGCATAGACTGATAAACCAGGGCTTGTATGAAGGCCTAAAGTGTAATAATCCCCTTAGGCAGGGGAATCGCCCTACATAAATGGAGCCTCCCTCAAGGCACGTTTTATGCAGTAAGCGTGCTGAAAAAGACACTTGCTTTATATCTTGTTGCATCGTTGGATCCTAGATCTTCTGAAACTATCTCATCTTTGGCACTACTGATGAAAGCATGCGTACAACTTATTGGCTAAATTAATTGTGCCTGGTCACCAGCTGTAGAGCTAAATTGTTGACCTTACCTTGCATGCCGGTCTCTGGCGCTCACCACGCGTCGTCCCACCGTCTACTTCCATTGCTAGAGGGTTCTGTTCTCATTCTGTTGTTAGAATGCAAACTATTCAACTATCAGGTGATGTGAAGCTCGGACGAGATAGGTGTTTTCCGGAAACCTGGAGTTTTACTAATCAATGCCAGTGGGTGAGGGAAAAATGCTTGCATTGAACGATGCGGTGCTACCAAGTGTAGTGCTCCATCTAACTTCATGTTAGAAAGGCACTTAACACCTGACTTAATGTAACTTTAACACAAAAGCTACTGAATGCTGTTCAGCTGCAGCCTTCTTTCTCTCCGCGATCCTTATAGTTGTCGCTATGGGACCAGAGGAATAGCTATGATGCACATAGCTTCACACCCCGAGTATTCGGAGCACTCATAGCTAGTTGCACATAGCATTATGCATACAAACACACAATGCCGTTTCTTGTTGTATCGGGACATAGCACTCGTCAGCAAATCAGACTTATGAATAGAGAAGCCAAAAACTTTCATTCCTTACTAAGTAAGCTAACGACAACTAGTGCGGTAGAAAGTGTCAAAGTGCTGATTGGGCCGCAATACTTTCCACGAAGGGGATATTCCTGTAGAGCCCATAGCAGGCTACTCTATAATTCGAAGAACTAGCCGCTTCTTTTAGCAGTAGGTGTGGTAGACAGCAAGCACCGCTCGGCGCGTTGCACTCTGTTCAGGCAGTTAGAAAATTGTTGATATACACCCTTTGGCGATAGAGCCACACAAGCAACATGGTTTACTGCAAATATGTAGGGAACGCGAGGGTTCTTTCTTCACAGCGGCTCATGCATATATGCATATATTGCGTATTACTATGGTTTCATGCCTAACCTCAGTTCATCTATTTAATTTTGCTTTTTGCTCTAACCTTATGGGCAAAAGACCAACAGGGACCCCTCTCTGCGTCAGTAAACAAGAAAGCTAATTAGGGCGTGGTTGCCTGCACAGTTTGCATGAAAAGCAATTAGGGCAGTAAACCATTCACTACACTAGAGCTGCCACGCCAATTCGGGGCACAGTTGACAATCATCCTCCGTGGTGCCCACAATACTCCCCAAAAGTAAGTATTATGCAGGGTTTACACACTTACAAGCCTGCCTAAGGGCGGTTATAAAACTTTCAAATGTGTTTTTGCCCTCACACTTCCACGTTAGGAGCCTTGCTTCAGCAGCATCGTAAGTGAATCTCCATTGCCTCCATAAAGAGCATTGATTGCTAGAAACCATCCAGAATGCCGTGGGAACGCCTGACTTTATGCAGATTCAACACTTAAGATATGTTAGAACGGCGATAGCGACTTCTGTATACAGTGGTGCGTGTGGTATAAAGTCAGTCTTGGAGGTGAAAGCTTCTCCATCGTTCTAGAAGACTCCGATAAAGCGGTGGTCACAAGCCCCGGGATAAAAATTATGCTTAACTATGCGGTGAACTGGAAAACGAGCTAGCAACACTGGCCTAATCATGTCTAGATCAACATAAGGAAAGTATGTGTACAAACTCAGATTCTGTAACCATTTTCTTCCCCACGACTACTTGAGTCACACAAAACTATGACTAGCTTCTGGCGCAGGTAGCGCTACAGTCGTACTAACCTTCGAGGGTTCAGGGCTCTTTTTTCCTACGTGCATACAGACGCGGTGGTTCTTTTAGGGACACTGTTGAGCCTACATTCAACTGCTGGAAAAGTAGGCGAAGGCAGCACTGCAGTGTCAGCTCTCAATGTGTGTGGTGATCCAACGAGCGCTACCGGTTAAATCATAATCAAAGGCCCAAATGAGCTAGACAGCACTGGCTCATAAAATGCGCACCCTTCAAAATTTATATGCCATTTGCGTTAGAAAAGAGCCGAGCTACAATAAATAGTCTTAACTGGGCTTGTGTACCTAGTGTTGGCTTTTTTCCTCGACGAAACGCAAAAGAAGTTATGTGTGTAATTCATGGTTAGAGTGGGGCAGACCGCGGTCTTTTTCTTGACGTGGACGCCTCATGCAGTGTCTAAGCAGCGGCCTGTGTTTTTGCAAACTAGCTAAACAACGTACGCCACAATGATAGTCCACTTGATGCATATCTCAAGCTGCTTTGAAAGAGTCAAAACAACACGCTACATATTGCGCGTCTATCGAGGGAAGTTTGCTCACTTAATCCCTTAATACGGATAGGGCAATAATGTGCGCACACTGCAGTCCACCGAACCGGTAGACTGCACGACTTCTTCATGCTCCGCTTAAATTTTTTTGACAAACCCCATTATGAGCATGAAGGGTCGTAAGCGTTGTGTGGAATCACTACATAGATGGTGCTGCTAGTGAGGCCAATACAGGAGATTTCAGCCTGCTGTACACCAGGTTTTTTGATTTAAGCAATGACAGCTCTGCATTTGGTCCTCAGGATCAGGAACACTGCCATATACAATACTTATTTTATTCGAAAGTAAGAACGGTGGTGTACCTGAGGGTCTAATTAGCGTTCACTGAAATTTGCCATCGCAAATCTCGGTCGGATGACTGGAACGCAACAGCTCACTTAGCGTTGGTCCGTACACATGATATTTTGTATCACCAGCAGGACTGCTTATCGCAGTTCGAATGTAGCTTGAGCATTTTCTACTTCCTCCCTTTTCCAGCAGCATTTGCCCTTCACCCCTGAAATGGGTAGAAGGTATCTGCAAATGAAAACGTGCTGAATCGAAGGCCAAGTAAGAACGTCTCCATTCTCCTTAGTTCCATTCCATGAATGATCTAGTGGAGTACTCGACGGAAATAGCAAGCAGAAGGATATAAAATAACAAAGGTAAGACACATCATCAAGCCCCGTCAATATGCTGGGTTTCCAGGCGCACAGCCACCTGCTGCGCGAGCATTCGGCGGCCAGTGCAGCAGGAAGCTCCTCTGGGTGCAAGAGAGATATCTGCAGGTAGTTCAAAGACAGGTGATGTCTTCGTGTGCTTGTCAAGATGCTTGCCATACAACCAGTTTTCAGAATGCTAGACACAGGGTAAGACAGGAATACACCAGGTGAAGGGCCTCCGATAGGTTGTCTCGCTCACCGGCTTGCACAAACACCTCCCCAGGGTTGCGCTGTACACTTGCAGAGAATAGCTGAGGAAGAACAGCAAACGCTGAGGTATTTGGCGGAGTGCATGATGATGTGCTTTAATGTTAAGCATCCTACGAGCGTCCACACTAAAACTGAGCAAAAACAATTGTGATATTGCTCAGTGCTGATGAGAGGCGGACCAGAACGTAAACAAGTATTGCACATAGTTTGTTTCCTGTGACATGATAAGACTCTTGCCTGCATTGTTGCTGCCATTCCTCTAAGCGAAACCCCACGATCCCACTGTTTGATCAATTCCGGTGTCTGCAGTAACAAATGCAAGTAGGGTGTTTCTAGGCTCCGCGCCAGAAGCTGCTGGTGATGATGGTATTCTTGTTGCCTCTGTGGTAACGGCGCCTCGCGAAGCTCCTTCGCCATGAAAGCTCCTTCTGGGGCTGGTGTGAAGCATCGCTGACGAGATGAAGCTACCAGATGGGGCATTGCTGGGTGCTGTCCACTCCTTTCATATGCTTCTATAGTAGGATGTTGGTTCACCGATCCTGAGTACGTGGTAATAGCACCTTTTGATGCCTGAGAGGTGCTCACACTTCCCTGCTTCGCTCCATCGGCAGCAACGTCCTTTGGAATCAAAGCGTTTGCTTCCTGAGCCTGGTATGCGGAGGAAGGCAGGTATGGAGCCCGCCTTCTTTTGTCTGCTTTTGCCATCTGTCCCCTGTCTGTTTTCTTTCCCATTCTCCTCCAAGGCGTATGAGCCTCTGCGATGCTGGTGGCCTGTGCATTTGGGAATCTCTGAAATGCTGCCTGTTTAGCACAACGTGGCGGACACGTGCGACAACAAAATAACAAAGGAAAACAAGCATCTCCAAAGCTGCTTGCTGTATCTTTGGCTGCTCACAGTGCAACCCTCTGACAGTTTTAAGTGTACATAAAGGAATTAATACTGCTAGACTGATTGGCCACATTGCTACTTCAATGCATGAGAAAGCAGCAGCTAGAGAACAGACAAAATATAACATTTTTTTCTTCCGCTCTCTTTGGCTGTTTGGCTGACCTGTACAATGATCAAAGTCATGTACGACGATCAATGAATTTTTGAAGCATGCACTTATTGGGATATACATTTTGGCAAGCCTTTGCATTGACACACCCTCATACTGATTCACTGTAACGGGAGAACAGCATCCTAAACTACGAATTTCAGTTTCGCCTTTTGACAGCGTATGGTCGCACTTGAGCTTCGCGTTGACATTGACAACAAAACTTGTTGTTTATGTTCACCGCGTCTCTGCTAATGTTGCGAAAAAAGAATTCCAGAGCTGAACGCAAACCGTTGAGCCGCGAATTCTGGCGCCCGAATCCCTTTAATGTCTTCTGGCTGCTACAGGTGTGAGACGTACGCAATAATGGCGAAGGCGAATGATCTGCAAGGTAATCTAAACTGCGAATCAGTGGTGGATTTCTCTTGGTGTTCTGGGAGTTCACTTAACTAGGGGTATTGATTGAGACTGCACAAGGTATTTAGACTATGCGCAAGCTTTTGGGATTAGATGCATAGCTATTTAGACCAAAGGATGCTCGAGGCACACCAGAGTCAGAGACGATAGGGTGGCCCAGGGAGAGGGCAGAAGAAGCGTATGCCGCTGCTTCCCTCGCTGCAATCGCCTCAATCGATAAACTTGTTTTTGTATCCTCAAAAGCCTCATGGCTTCCGAACACTGTTGCAACTGTCTGGGCGCATATGGTGGCCGACCTAGGTGTTCCCTCTGCAGTGCCATTCCCCGACCGATTGTCTGACGTTTTTTGCCTCAGTGGTTTTGATGAAGAAAGAGGATCCATCGAGGAACAACTACGAGAAGAACCTTCCTCCGGGTGCACCTTTGACCGCTCTGCATACGACCGGATGCCTCTGTTTGACAAACGACCGAGTTGAGTGGCAACTGACTCTGTAGTCGAGGCCCCCACAGGAGGCCAAGCAGGATCGGGCAGTTTATGGGTCTGCTTCTGGGCTCGTATAGGACAATGCGCTGAGTCAGAAAGAGTGGAATCTGGATCTTGGAAAACGACGGGTGTTTCCAAGCGCGGCCGAATGGACTGCGGCACCTCTGGCGGCAGCTCTACTGTGTCCCTGTCTGCAGCCGATTGAAGGGACTGGTAGCGATGAGTACGGCGCTGTTGCTGCTGCTTAAGCTGTCGCACTGTGCCGTGATTAAGAACTGCTGTGTGGGGCTGGAAGCAAAGCAGGTTACGCATAAATCGGTCAAAGTGACCTGAAAAGAAAAATTCTCACTGTTAACGCCCCACGCATCGGTTGCTCCAGCAGCGGGATTTGGAACCAGACCGCTGCTACCAGTAAAGACACCATGCCTAAGTGCTGCGCAATGTGTGGATCTCTCTTGCTTTTTCTTCTCGCAATGCTGGTGTACATGTGTGCTTTCTGTTGGTGCTGTTTGGTGCCTCCTCCCTTCACCGCCCCACCCGTCCCCTCCCTGTTCCCTGGCCACCCGCGACCTTGGTGTCGTATTGTCTTTTCGCAGGATACAACGCATGCGGCCTTACAGCAACTTAACTACTGCTGGCCGCCCGTTTAGCCTGAGATCAACATCTGGAGCGTGCAGTGGATGGCGTGCCCTGCTGAGGTAACTACAGGGCACTGGCCTCTGTAGTCACCTCGATGACACCGCTCTTGCCTCAGGTTCAAGGATGCCCTTCAAGGGTTAGTAGCTATGACAACGGGGTGTGCATCGTACCTTCTAATGAAAGAGCTGAGGCGTTTATGTAGTCCCTCATCCTTTTAGAGAGAAAGGGGGAGAAAGTGAGCGGCAACACAGTGTGACATGATTCTATCTCTCCTTCCCTTCCGCCAAAATTTTCTGCCGTGGTGAAGTCCCGGGTACCTTGCATTGCCTGAGAGGAAATTCATTGGGCAGACGTCTACACTTTACATCCTGGAAGCAACAGTGCGCTGCAGTGACCCAGCAGGAAATAGAGTATGCAGATTACACACGTCTCTTCGGTGCAGGCCCTCGATGCGTTGAACGCGTTCTTCCTGTTTCCCAATACGCCTCTCTAGGTGCTGCAGCAGCAGCAGCCCCGTCAGCCGCACCGCATCTAGCACGCCTGCACAGCATCGCGCCGTTAGACTGAAAAGATAGCCTTGTCAGTCAAGTGCTTGTTTTAAGCTCAGGTGGGGCACCAGAGCGTCCCACTGTTTTGTCATCCTTTTACCGCCGCAGCAATATACATAGGAATTGGAAACGATATGCAAACGCTCAATGATTTAAGCCAGCCGTTTGTACATCCCAAGTGCCTTACAAATTACACATCATCAAATGGTAATCTATCACTTGCCCTGCACTCCAAACGACATCCAATCATGGGATTTCACTCACTGAGGGGAATATGCTTAAAGAGCTCTGACTTTGTGATGGAGAAGACCTGCGTTTTGGAAGAAAAAGCGAAGACCGAAAATGGCTCTGGGCAGTCATAAAAGAGAGAACAAAAATTTACTAAGCATCCCTCCTGTAGCAACGCCAAGTCTAGTTCTTCTAGCAGCACTGTGCTGCTGCCGACGTTGTTGCCACCATGCACCGACGACAAGTTCTGAGCCCGCTGTCCGCTTGGCCCAAACAAGCCACCACAAGCACCAGCCGTTTCTGGCCTATCAGCAGTTCCACCCTGAAATGTGTGCATGCAATGAGCATGAAGCTCCAGATTTATCGCAAGTTATACATAGGGTAAGCTTCGCCCTGCGGGATCACTATGCTGCACTCAACTGTTTCGAAGAGATAAAGAGTGGTGCACTTCTAAAAACCCGAGGATGAGGTAAATGGTAGGAACTGTAGCAGGACTAGGAGTAAAGTTTTGGACATGTACTGCAAAAAGAGACGATGAGACTGAGACCAAACTCACACTTTTGTCCTTTTGCCCAGAGAGAGCACGCTCTACGGCATGCCCTGCACGCGGCATATGAAATGCATCACAAGAGAGAAAGGGGACACTGGAGAAAGAACAAGTACTCGAAGACAACTCGTGAGGAAAGGAGACGAAAGAACAAAGCGAGGCACCAGAGGCATTCGTTGATGTGCTCAGGTGAACTCCTATCTTGAAGCGGTAACTATGACGAACTATTTGGCCTGCTGATACATTAAACGATCTAGGAGCACCAGCTGCCATTAGAAGAAGTGAGCAGTACATCCAAATGAGAGAGCGATTGAGGAAGCAGACGTACTTATAGGAGTCACTGCCAGATCACCCTCTCCTATGCCCGCTGATATGGAGTGAAAGTCTCCTACATAGCGGCTGGTTGCATGTGCACATAAGAAAAAGAGAAACGGAGCCACAAAAAGCAGATAGAGAGAGAACTGTGCAAGGCTGGGACGGAATCGGCAAAGAAAGAGAAGCTGCACAGAGAAGGCGGCTATCTCTGTGGCTCAGGATGCCATTTACGGAAACACTCTGCGGCTGGAAGGCATGATTAGCTTGAGTTCAAATTTAAGAAAACTCCCTGCTATCGCAAGTCCGAACAGGAGGCTGCTAGTTAACAGCAGCCACTGCAACAGAAACTCCAGTAGCAGTCTCTGCTAGTGGTAATTGCGGGTGATTAGAGTCGCACCGCCTCCTGGTGCGAAGTACACATTCTCCTGCAGCACCTCACGACATTTTCACAGAGCTGTATAGAAAAAGAGGTTCTCTGTAGAACTGGTGCAGGTTCAACACGCACTGAGTACATCAATACATTCTACGTTCAACTCCATTCCTTTAGTGGCCCACTAAGAATAGCTTGCACCAGAATAAACACTTGCACTCGGTTTGATGCAGTATGCTCACTAAGCGTCGTCGGCCTCTGCGTGTAATGTGCATGGACAAAGGGAAGATAACGTGGCAGCCGAAGTGGGGGCTTCAAAGAAGCATGAGTAGGCAGAAGGATTCATTAACTAACCTTTAACAATGAGATAGAGGGTGTCTTCCTTGTTGCCTTCTGTGCTAAGGGCCATATCCTTTTGGATGGTTGCTTCTTTGAAGAAGTATGTCAGCTGCTCTACAACCAACTTGCGCAATTCTTTGGCCCCGGGCAGAACCTGCCTCAAAGTCTGGACCTACAGACAGAGGAACATGGCACGGGGTACAGCATGCTTGATACTGCGACTAAGGACAAGGCGGAAAGGCAAACACGGAGACACTGGACAAAAAAACATAACGAAGCAAACGAAGGCACGGAGAGAGGCAGAAAACGCAAGAAGAGAGACAGAACGAAAAACATGTCCATTGAAGAAGTCCATGCATCTCTGTATTGTTATCTTTCGTGTGACGCCCGTATTCTTTCTGCTAATTTTGTGGATCAATTCGTAAGTAGAGCACAAATTGTAGGCTGGAGATTGATGCACCGTTTATGAAAGAAAGCGACATTGGAAGTCACAAAAAACGAGATACACCCATTGCCTAAGGGAGGAATACGGACAGCAAGCGAAACAGGGCGGATGAATAGTATAAAGCATCAAATCAGTCTGCCAAAGCTTTCATTGTCCATCACCTTGTCATCAGACTTTTGCTTGAGAAAATTACCAAGACAGTGCTGAAAGGACTTTTTGTCCAAAGTCAGAAACAGGCAGTCGCTGTGGGTCAGCAAGGCCGCCGAGCGAACGTCGTTTCGAATCAAGCCTGAACCCCAAGCGATCGACCAAACACCTAAGCAACGTATACTCTAGATACACCGCTTTGTTTACAAATGGATGTTCAAACCCAGAGTAGGTGTATCTATAAAGTGAATCTATATCAACATTGCAAGTAGAAATAAGGCGAAGTTGGTATACAAAAAAGCAAACGGCCTCGTCGGTGATTCACTTCTTTAGCTATTTCCAAGCAGTCTGCACATTAGTATGAGACCGCTAGCGAGTGTGTAATAGTTGGATAGGTGCACTTGAGCCTTGCATGTTTATTCAGTATAAACAACCTAATCAGTACGATGTCAATAGAACTCTGTGCATTCGTCATCATGCTGTCTTTAGACGGTCAGCTGCTCTCCATGCAGCTCCTTCGTGATTCCCAATGTCTTGCAGGTGCTTTCCATTGTGTTGTTGCCTCTACCCATCCTATTAAGGTTAGGAGTGTGCGTAAATATACAACGAGAAGGGATGAGAAAAGGGACAAAGAATTTCTTGGATTGTACGTAAGATAATACGGCTACCTTGATTTGTCTCTCTTATGCAACAAAGCAATCAGTACAGAATGATAGTGAAATGAGGCAAACTACTGGGCCAATTGATGGCTATAGAAAATGACTCGTGCTACAAACAGATAAGCAAAAATAGCATATACATGAATATATCAGACATGGGCATACCCAGTTCCCCGAAGGAGTGGCCTTCCGCTAAATTGGCTACGCAACTGTTCTTATCCACGCGGCGATATTTGGATATCTCTCCAACAAGGTCAGATCCTGTAAAACAGCAGTAGGTATGAGGTGTGTTCGCTCTTCGTACACGGCTATCTTTTGCACCCCCGCAGTCCATAGCCAAAGCCTCCATTTCGCTCCTTCTACCTTGAACTTCTCTTTCCCTCTTCCTTTTACATATCTCAGCGTCTTTATTGGCTGTCCTTCGCACGCCTCTCTGTACCTAAGGCCCCCGGACGCCCGATTTTTGACGCCTCCTCTTTCCCCGTACCAGGTTGTGTCTTCTTGGAGTTTGGTCCCCCTTGTTCTGTCTCAGCTATAGAGTCCTTTATCTCCTCAATGTACACCCCAGCACTACCCGAAAGAATCAAATACCAATTATCAGCTGAGCAATAAAGGGAGAGGATGTAATAGGAATTAGGTAGGGAAAGTCAGCCAGGGGCAGGCTAGGCCAGGGTTTTTGAGGGCACAGCGATAGGTAGTAGGGCAAGTATGGATGTAGGGGGGGCCGGACACACAAAAGGAGAAAGAGCGCACAGTGTAACGATAGAGAATAAGCAAATGTAAAGGAAGGCACAAACGTGAGAAGATACGAACCAGCTTTACCGAGAGTCTGTAGAGCCGTTGCTAAATGTAATCCGTTAGCACAGAGCGTGGCTGGTTTTGTCACTTAAATTGCTATATCTGTGTACGTTAATCGGTACCGGTCAGGTTTACCCATAGTAGAAGATAATTATACCACGGAATCTAAACATGGCTCCATGAATCATGAATGGGACGCTCTGAGCAGCTAAAGAAAATGAGAATCAGCTAAACTTCTCATAAGTATCAATACATCGCGCGCAATGTAGCCTACAGCAGCGGCTTCAATTTTAGCAGTAGATGCGGCGGTGGCAGCAAAAGTGGAAGCAGTGCCAGGAACAGCAAAAGTTCAGCAGACAAAGCAGGAGAGGCCATAGTAGCTTCAACGCATCAAACATGACGGTGAGGGTAAGGAGACACGGCAGTAGCGGTAGCCACTGAAGGAACGCCAGTTGTTTCTTGCCTGGGTCTCCTTTGTAGAAGAGAACCCTGTCTGCTTTCATTGTGGTGTACGTCATGTGCCGACAGAGCTCCAAAGACATTTCAGCTTCCAATTCGCTGAAAAACTTGTTATCTTTAACCAGCTGAAATATACACTCTACCTATGCATAAATCGCAAACGGCAACGCCTTTAAGGCAGGCAAGGCTGCGGCATACTCTGGCTAATATATTTCCCAACTTACAGCCTACGCCCTCAAAGAAACTTAGGGGAAGCGATTCCCCAGTATATGCCCCCTAACATGATCTATAATCTACACCCTTCAAAAGGCTTGCTTGGCCCTTAGGCCTTGCAGCGTGAGCTCAGAATCCATTGAACAATAAAGGGAAAATAGTGCCTCTCTCATGGCCCCCATATCAGTTTTATTTGTTTAGCCGACACATCACGCCCTACGAGCTTGTATCCTACGTTTTCTCTGCTCCTTTCTTCAGGGGGGAGCTGGAGCAGCTCCAATGTAACCGAAAACTGCTCATCTGGTGCAAATTGCTCTAAGGGAACCTGCTCCTGTGTATTGTTGCTTTCGTCTTCTTCGCTCTCCTCATCTTCCTCTTGGCTTGCCTCTAAGCTGTAGGCGCTTGCTAGGTTTGCTTCGAGGGGGGCTGCAGATGCCATTGTAAAACCTATGAGAATCCCCTGCCCTGAATCCTGTGAAATTTTCGCCAAGCAATACTTACCTAGACAAAGATCAATTTCTTGCGATTTTTGTGAAGTATCTCTTGAAGCTCACAAAGTTTAAAAACTTAAAAAGAAAACGTCTTTTCGGAGACTTTTCGAACAATAAAGACCTGAATAATGTAGATGCTTAGCTTTCAGTGAAAAGCCTAGAGTGAGGCCCCCGGCGCACCAATATAAAAAGCAAAAAAGAAAACCGGTCCTTTTCATACTTACGGCGCAAAGTTAAGCTGAATTTGTGATAAAATAGGGTAATTAAGGCGGTTGATCATGTTTTTGCGCCTATCATTTTTCTTTGATATACAAGGGGGCCTATCGACAACCCGGTGCGGAACGAGCACCATGGTCTAGCCTGTCTCTCCCACGCTACCTTGTTTTGCTTCATATTTCTTCGTTCTTGCACCTTTGGGGTGAGGGGTTTGATCTATGTTTTATTAGCCTTATGAGACTTTCGTGCCTATGTGTCCTTCATATCACACCAACAAAGTTAATGACCAAATAGGCCACCGAAATACCCGTAGCCCCGCGGGACCCACAGGGGATGGACTCGAAAGCTGGGCTTTGAGGCTTTAGGGGTTGGTAGTTTTCTCATTGCTACGACTTCTTCACAAGTGAGTGGAAAAAAATTAACTAGAAGTGCATATTTAGCAAATGTAAAGCGTTAAATGACGTATGTTGCACACAACTTCATACCAGCAAAACTATCGACCATGTAGCTGGACATGCAGTGGTGGGGTCACATCGCAAAGAAACACCGATATGTTTACATTTGAACATTCTAACTATCCACTATCTTGGCCTCGTCGCTCCTTTGAGCTAAGGGAGAAACAAAGTTTTACACACACATTTTTCGTACACTGCTCGCTGCAACTGACTGAAATCGTTGCCGATGTCCACAAGCTACATTTTTTGTACCGGTTACAAAATAATATAATTACATGTTGTTTGCACTTAGTGCTCTATCCCCAAGTGGTGTCCTTTCTCTTTTTGTTGAGGTGCAGACAAATCACACACGCAAATAGTCACTGTCCAGCGACAAGGGCCACTTTGTTCTTCCCTTAGAACTTGCAGCAACTCTCAGGCTCAGAAAGCATGGAAGGCCGTAGATTCATAAGAGGTTTTTGGTGCGTATTTGCATGAATAAGGTAGGGAATCTCCAATGCCCATAAATATGTATCATAAGCGGCCCCCTGCCGAATGTGCCCCGATAAAAGTCTAGCCCAGTGTCCTTGGGTGTATCGGCACCTCAGCTGCTGCTGTCTCGCGAGCCGTCACTGCAACCAGTCGCTCCGCAATCGTGGGCTTCAAAGCGGAAGGAGCATTTGAGCGACGCAGGTCTGCTCATGCAAATATATAACTCAGGCTTTGGCCAGCCGCTGTGACTGTACTGCTCAAATTGATCATAGAGCCGGAACATATACGAAATCTGGTCAGTCTAACGAAGGTGTGCACCACCATTTGTTACTGCTGCTGCAGCTGGGAATGAACTAAAACGGGTGAACGAACGCTGGAGACAGCGGGTTTTGCAATTGCGTGCGACCACTATTCGAGCACCACCCACATTCTTTTCATGCTGCATTCTCCTGGCAGTGCAGCTGCAGCTGCCGCTGCTACAGGTGTTTCTGGGTCTCCGCTTTGCTCATCTTGTGCCCCATTGTCCTCACAAAAGCTGTGCATATATCCCTTGGGGTCCTCTCTATAAGAGCCACCATCGCGGCCGAGGAAACATACAGATTAACACTCGTGCTTCTGTAGCTGCTGGTGCTTTTGTGATTAATTTTGCTGCTGTAGCTGGTCTGTTTCTACGGGAAAGGGAGACGAGGCTACAGCCCTGAGGGCAAAACTAAAGATGTGATACTTTAGAGGGGGGCACGCATCAAGGCAAGACCCAAGGAATCGCCAGAACTCCGAAAATTGTATATCACTTGGGTCAGCAGCTTCTAGATACACCCCACTGCACGCACCCATAATGAAGTTGCTGCTGTTGCCGTAAAGTTGCGACGGAAATAGCCCCATTTCGTTTTTGCTGCTCCTACAGGAGTTAAGCATGCTGCAGGGCTTCCCACTCTCAGCCTCGGCAAGGACTGCAGCATAAAATCCTTGGTTCTTTGGTAGTTCCCAGGCGGCGTCGACGGCTTGAAGCACTGAGGGTAGCACCTCTGCAGTTAGCGGAACAGCCTGTTGCATAAGTAGATGCTGTTTCTGTTGTTCCTGCTCTTGCTCTGTGGAGCTGAAGTCAGTTTCCTGCTGCTGAGATTGGTGATGTTGCTGAAGAAACTGGTGCCGTGCTCTTTGCACCAGGAGCTCTACTTGAGGTTTAAGGGCCTCGAAGGCCCTCCATGCTCTTTCTTCTTTCACTGCCTTCCTAAGTAAAGAGTAAGTTGGTAGGCTTCCCAACTGCAGGTGCTCGCCCCGTAACAGTCCCCTGCTCACTGCTGCTGCAGCTGGTGTGGTCGCAGCCCTAGCGCCAACAGCGTGTTGTTCTGCAGCATAAGTATATGCTTCAGCAGCCTTCCCTTGTCTTAAAAGAAACTGTCCCAGCCACACCAAGGGGTCGAATCGACTCCTTATACCCTGGTCCAGCAGGAGGTAAGGGTCAGAGGTCTCTGGCTGCTGATGGGCGTCTGATTGGCGGCTTGGCTGTTTCTGCATCTGCGGCAGCTTCTGATGCTGCACATACTGTTGTTCGTCAGCCTGCAGCTTCCCCATAAAGGAGCAGAGAGCAGCGATGGCATCATCAAGTAACGGCAGCAAAAGCTCACACAGATAGAGTTCAAGTGCATCGTTAGGTGGTCTGGGGCCCCCGCATGCAGCTGCTTTAGCCAATGACCCCCAGCTGGGACATCCTTTGAGTGCAGTAGAAGCACCTCCACAGCCAGCAGCAACAACAGCTGTTGCATTTTCCTCGGGAGGTTGGGCTAGAGCCAGAGCGTCGAGCATAGTGGAAATCGGCACAGAGGGATCCAGGGTACCCGCAAGGCCCTCTGCTCCCGCAGCCACAAGGGCCGCTGCACTCTCCACTTCGGAGCCCGTTGAGCTCCGAAAGGCTCCATCACCTAAAAAGGAAAGCAGTTTTCCACCCCCACACCCCTCTGGGTAGTAGGCGTCTCTGCTATTTCGTATCTGGTGCAGGAAGTACTGCGTGAACGCGAGACGCTGCTGCGACGGCAGAGAGAAACCCCCAACACTTCCCGAAGCCAGCAGGCCCCACTGAGGCATTTTCGTCTTCACACTGCATTAAGAAGGACCCTGAAGACTCGAAAAACTATGAAGATTGAAGAAGAGTCAAGAAGTAGACCACTGTCTCGGGTCTTTGCCTTTTGTTTCCTTGCCTTCTCCGTGCAGTTCCTAGCTTAGCCTGTCTGTCTCTCTCTCTTGCCCCCTCAGTTTCTTTTGCCCACTATCTCAGACGCATACCTGTCTCATTTTCTTATGGTTCCCCTGACTGAGTACCCATGCCCCTCAGATCCGCTCGAGAGGAACAGCCCGTGAGGCCTCCCCCTGTGGACCCAAGAACAGCGGAACCTCTCAGCCCCGCTATGCCATCAAATTCCTGAGCTTCTAAACCATAATTTTGAGCGGGTATTACTTCAAGCCCAAGCGGTTAAAGCCTAGGCTAGCAGCAGGCGAAACTAGGACAGCTCCTGTTGTCTTTGTACATGCGAAGCACTAAGGCCACTGTGCCCCATATTCAGCCACTGTGCATTTTTTATCTGGAAAATTGGGGACGACATTTTAAGGTTTGCATGACCCCTTGCTGCTGCCCGCATCGGGGCTGCTGCTACTGACTGTTGCTGCTCTGGCACCGCACCGCTTGCTCCCTCTGCTGCTGCTCTGCAGCTGCAGCACGACAAAAGATTCCACAGAAACTGATTTTTGACAATTGATTTTCAGTTTATAGATTTCCCTCTGAAGTGCCGCAAAGCAGCGATGCACTATGAATGAGGGGAAAATTAGAAGCCAAAAGTTCGAGCATCGACCCCCAGACCTAGGGTCACATGGTTAAGACCAGCAGCACAAGCAAACGCTGCGTCAATGCTTTCTGCATTAAACGCTGGTCTCGTAAGCTGAGTGACGAAGCAGGACCGGCGGAAGTGGGAACATCGGAAAAATCTCAGTTCTTAGTGAGAGAGAAAGGCATTTTGGTACAGGAAGTAGACAGCAGATGAAAGCAGGCCGTTACCGGCAGCAAATGCAAGAGCACAATGCATCCATACTTTGAACTTCAGTTTAAGCATCAAGAGTTGCTCAAGAAGCAGAACAAAGCAATTTCAGTCTAAAACGCTCTCTTATGACTACTCTGGGGCCTATATGCTGCGTCCTAGCAATATATTCTCTACACACACGATGCATTCTACTTTAAAACTCTAGGGATCGCTATCATATCTCCTAAGCCTTCTAAACATTTCGCCGGGAGACACCGTTTACGGCAAGATGCAGTTTGGGGTCGGAGGAGACGATACCCTGCTGGAGGCGCTATGGAAAATACAAGCGGGTACTTTAGAGGACACAAGTCCAAATAATGAAATACACTTTAAACACCAATACGCTCTAAAATGTAGATGCTACCACGTGCTACAGTTGGCAGATGACAAGTATCGCCATGTTCTAAAGTTCCTTGGTCAGTTCCAATCATCAGCAACATCCATGTTGGCAGTAGCGATAGTGTCAGCAGCAGCAGATCTCAAGCATGAGCATCACCATCGTTGACAGCAGGAATGCTAGCCCTTTATTCGTGTACTCAGGGGCGTCAAGAAAGGTAGAGGGGGTAATCGGCGCAGCAGGTCGTCGGAGTTTCATGCAGTTTGCAACGCACTGTAAAAATTCGAAGCACAGTTCCATCGAGGCCACAGTTAGCCCCAGAAGACCAAGGAATTCCCATAGTCGCATCAACCCGTATGCATCTGTCCTATAATTGCTACTGCAAAAGCAATTTTACGCAAAACAAATTCGAAATAAAGGGATTTGTTGCTGAACGTTTAACACCTTGGGGACACATGCACAACATTAAGGCATACTGAGACGGCTCTGATTATCTGAAAACGGACAGTGGGGGTGGGATAAGGAGCCAAGGAATAACATGCGCTATTAAGTATGCCTTTTGGGGTGCACTAGATGCGCACTGAACATCTCCTAAGGATTTCATTGGCTGGTTCAAGTCAGCACTGTGGATCAACGAGGCCTCCTAGCGCCGCAGAGTGTTTCTCCTTGCGCTTGACAGTACTCTTGGCCTTCACATGGCCCTATAGTGAACGAAGACCACTGCACTGCGGGTGGTGGTATCACAGATTATCTTCGCAGCGAAAAAAGAGTCTTTCAGGTGTTACAGCTTACCCGCAACGCCCATCAGGTACGTATTGCTGCTGGTACACCTGTCGCGCCTGCCACTGCTGATTTGTTGCTCACTTGCTGTAAAAGATTAGCTCCTGGCCTGTCGGTGCTGCAGTGTGCTGGACAGAATGGTCGGTCGCTCTTGCAGCTGCTGCCCTAATAGCTGCTGTTGATGCATTTTGTGAGCTGCAGAGATTGGCTGGTCCCAGCCTGAGGCACTGCTGCCATCAGCAACACGGACCTATGGGTAGGAATCATATGGGAGCAACTACATTTCATCTCCTCGCGTAACCCACTTCTCAGGCCCCGCTTTCTGACTCTCCGCAAATTTCTGTCTTCATTTATTCCCTCTCCGCTTCAGTCCTTTCTGCTAACTCGTATGGTGACTACCCGGTGCTCCTGGTTACTACAACTCCTGAAGTTGCACTGCCCCACTTCTCCAGATGGTGGATTCAGTCGAGTTGCTGGAATTCCTGCTTCTGCCGCAATTGGATACACTTATATCTGCTCTGATAATGCATGTGATGCAGCTGTGCTCGCGGGATTGTGCGCTTCTGGAGACCTTTTTGCGGCATGTTGCAGGCGACGAGGCTATTTGAGGCCGGCACCCTCGACCACCTCCGTGCAGTGGGGGTCCCTCGCTCCAAGCATAAATCCAACCAGATGCACTTCCGTATCAACCAATAAAGAGCATCCTACTAGGCACCAAACTTCATTCTCAGAAAGAGTTGCTCACTTGATTCGCAGCCTCTCACCGCCCCAAAACCCTGGCACTGTGCTTGATCAGCAGCACGAGCAAGGCGGCAGGGGAGCAAGCAGCTGCTTGCACACCAGCAGAGAGAACGATACCTGCAGTCTTAGGGTAGCACAGAAGTCTAAGATGGGTCCGGGATGCAGCACAAGCAATAAGACAACGGTTGCTGAGGCTTGCAGCAAAATGCTCTGGCATCTTCAATTGCTGCTGCTACTGCCCGCTGAGGAACCGCACCTGCTGTACGATATCTTAGCTATTGATCCTCAGCTTCAGCACTATCTGCTGCAGATGCTACTAAAGGCTACTGAATTCCAGCAGAGCACAGCTGCAGGCACTGCAGAAAGTGTGCAGTTCATCGCCAATGCTGCCTCAATTTGTCACCTTCGTACAGGGAGTGCCCCAGCTCCTCCATCCCTTGTTGTTGGTGCCGCTGCGACAGTAGCGGACGCAGAAGCTTCCGACACAACGGTTGTAGCACCTGCAGATTGTCCTTCATCATTTAAATCAGCAGCTGCCCAAATTATTATCAGTAGCCAGGTTCAAGGGGAAATGGCGGTCTCGAGGGACCCTGCAGGTGTATTTGCCTCTCCGGGGTTTCCCCAGTTGCAGAGAAAAAATGATGCAAAGAAGCATCAAGGCAGAAGAAGCTGCAATAATTCTGTGACAAGGAAATGGGTATTGAAGCGAAAGGCTGAAGAGGCTCACATTCACAAAGCTGCGGTGACAGTTCAACAGCAGGCATGTTATCAGCAGCTCGTGCTGCAGGAAGAATTGCTTTCGAAGAAGCAGCTCGGAACAGGGCTGCATGAGCTATGCTCTGCATTCAATCGTCATCAGCAGCATCCTGAGGGCCGGAAGGAACAGCAGAAACAGTTACTGCAGTGCTCATGCAGTCATTCAGTTGGTGAGCAACAGCTGGTTAAAAATAGCACTGCCACTGGGTCTCTGGTGAGCGAACGCTACCCTAGTCCCAGATGGTCGTCATCATGTAGACCCACCTACTTTCCAGTTTTAGCCTCTACAATAGCCCAACGCCGTATGGACATATCGAAGACGTGTGCCTCCAGCGAACGGAGGAGCAGCTGGAGCAAAGGTGCAAATGCATACGAACAGAAGCGTCACCCAAGCAGCATTGCAGATTCAGAGAGATCAGTAATTGCTGGTGCCCTTCGAGATCCTGAAGAGAGCTTACTAAAGGAAAAACAGCACGCAGCAGCGATTGAAAAGGCTGTGAACCTCTTGGGAGCAACCAAACCCATGGAGCCGGCTACAGCCCAAACAGCAGCACATGCAACACAACTTTCTACAATGCACAAAGGTATGAGTCCAATGAAACTTTTAAAGCAAGATGCCACAACTGACCACTTCTTGCAGCGCCGTCTACTACTCCACCCACAACAAGGATTCCAGCTATGTGACTACGTAGTTCGGCTTCAGCGCCAGCGGCAGCAGGTCCTTGCACGACAACAGCAAGGAAACTCCACTCAAGAAGAGCAGCAAGCAGTTCTGCAGTGTCTGATACGCCTTCATCGGCAGCAGAAGCAAGCGCAAGATGGCCGTTTATACGGATCTAAACGGCAGCCGCAGCAAAACCGATGCGGCAAGATAGAGGACCTTGACAACTTCAGCCATCAGGAAGAAAACTACTGGGCGCCCTCACAGGAGCAAGAGACAGAAAAGGAACAACAGACAGACAATGTCGCAAGAAGATCGCGCCTCTCCGCTTTGTCAAGCGACAGTCCCGAGATGCATGGGGCCTGGCAGCCTGAAGCTGCCGCACTCCTGGATTCCACATACAAGCAGGGCACACCCCTAAAAGCGCAGCAGCAGCGACAGCAGCATCACTTGCAACAGCAGTCACTACATCACTCTTCACTGCAGATCCACCAGCCACCGTTGAAGCAGGTAGACCAGCGCCTCCCAGGTCAGCAATTGGACAAAGCTCTTGTCGAACGCGAGTGCCAGCAGCTACCGCCTCAACAGCAGCATCTACTCCAGCGTCAGCTTGGTCACTTACCAAAGCCCCCGCAGCAGCCGGAGAAAGCCTTGTCATGGGGAGCCATGCCGGAGGGCAGCGAGAAGGTGTACTATAAGAACGCCGCGTCACCAATGAGCACAAGAAAGACATTTGAAG